CTGTTTTTTTTCCTCCATAAATAAAAAAGAAAAAAAAACAATTGATTGAAATTACGAGCATTATACCACATGCAATTCATACTGACATAATTTTAAAAATATGAATACCACATATGAAACATATAAAGAGCACAAGGTGCATCATTTAGCGTGTCCTTTTCAACAATATACAGTCACTATCAATGAAGTATAATAATTACAGGAGCAAATGGTGCTTCTTTCTCTGCATACAGAGAAAAAATTCTTGTACGAGATCAGGGATATAGCTGAGCAGCACATTGCTTACCTGGCAATGTGGCATTGTGAGTTTGATTCCCAGTTTTAAACAAATTGCATGTACATATGAATGCCCTACTTCAGAGATTAATTTGTGTTTTTAAGAAGCAGCCCCTTTGCAAGTTGTCCTTTATTGTATTATTTCACCTTCTATTATTTAAATCCCTATCATAACATCGAACTTTTCTCACTATAAGGTATAGAACCTAATGTATTCAACAGTTTATTCATTTATTGTATGATTCTAGATGTAAGACTGTAGTTTACACATGCCTGGAAGGCTCCTAGTAATTATTTTCATCATAGCCATAGTAATATGTATTTTAAAATTTATTGATGTTAAACTTTAAAAAAAATTCTCATGTGATTTTTTAAACATCCTAGAAGGACTTAGAATTCTGAGGGTGTGTTCATTGATTCTGGAATTCAACATCATTACAATGAAACTCAATGTGGAGGATACTATTTGTCTGCTTGAGGCCTCATATTAAACTCTCATTGTATTTATCATAGTTAGATGTCCCTGGCATTTCCTATGACTTGGTTAAAATATCCAACAGTGTCACTACAATGTATTCAAGACTTATGAAAGCTAAACCTAGCTGGAGAGCAGAAAGAAGGCTGTGTGCAGTGCCCACCCTCACTTCAGGCCCTGTAAGAAGATAAGGATTCAGCATGTAAATTTTCTGTAATAGTCCTTTCCATGCCAAGAGATGAATGCTAATCTCTTGTGACTTACTAATTTTTTCAAAGTAAATACTCAACTTGCATGTCTGATGCCTAGAATTCTACTGTCACATTCTGAGTGTTTAAAGGCATTGAGGTTACTAGGAAAGACATGTAAGCGTGTGGCTTCATGTTGCAAGGAAACATGACCCACAAGATTACATCTGGTGCATGAACGTGGCTCTCAGGCTCTCTCTCACGCCTGAAGAATCTCCACTGGAAGGTTGAAGATTGATTCTGAGAGAATGAGCAACCTGAAGCCAATATCATAAGGCAATGAAATACCTATGCCCATGCACAAAAAAGTAAGACACTTGTTTTCCCTTATTATTCAAACCAGGTCATATTGGTTGTTGTCAAGCACAGAAAAAGGAGTCATTTGCCATGTGCTATAAATCAGTAATTCACAAAGAAGTGCAGAACATTAAAATGGACTGGGACATTCATACTATCATGACACACACCACCCTTCACAGATATTCTTCATACATAGTAATTATTTCTGATTCTCTTAAATCTTTGCAGGAGATAAAGAAACATTTTTTCAGTAAAGCCCTATAACCACTGGAATCCCTTCTTCAGAAAGAAAAGATTCACAAAATTATCTGGGTAAGTGAGGCTCCTGTTCTACAGGAGACAATTTGAAGACTGGAAGGAATAACGCAAAAGAGATATTTGAGTTTCATAATTAAAATGACTTGATCAAACTAAAACTAAGGGACAACAAAATGAATTGAATATGCACAAAAAACAAATCTGTTATTGCAAACACTATCATTAAGCATTAGATTTTTTTCAACCTCCTGAATACAAATGCTTTAATATGTATTTCAGATGTAACAGAAAGAGAAATTCATAATACAACACTAAATGACATGTAGCTCACTGAATGCAGCACACTGTGAATCACTGTTTGTTCACCCATGGTGTCCTTTTTCAGAGACCAGAGACTCATCTCTGTATCCTCCAACATGAGCATATAAACTTCACATTGAGCCATGTATCGCTAGTATAAACTATGTGTCAACTTAAATATTCAATATAAGTTTACACTCAAACATTTTCTCTGCATTATCCAAGGGCCCCATGGACTTTAGAAAAGATAATTTGAGATGGGCATAAACTTTCAATATGCATCTCATATTGAAAAAGTTCAGTAATCCAGGGTGGCCTCGATTTTTAAGCACTCCTAACTTTCTGAGGAGGCTGGAATTAAATTTGTGCATCACCATGACTCAGTGTTGTTTATTTTACCCCAACAGTGAATTCTTGGTGAAATTGGGTGACATGAAAAAAAAAAACAAACCACAGATCCAGGCTTGGCACTGCATGCCTGAGTCCGTAGCATTACAATGGATGATGTATGAGGCTCTGAGCATTAAGGACCATGTGAACTAAAGAAGGAGACCTAATTCCCTCCAGCAAAGCAGAGGCATATCCATCACCATCAAAGTAAAATATTTCTGTCATCCCCTCACTGGCAGTTGAGCTAGTTAGAAATATTACATCCATCAGAAATGGCTAGGCTCTGGAAGGGCCCCCACAGAGGATGAGATATCTAGTGACTATGAAAGAGACACACACACCACATGCTGTGCACCAGATCTCAAGATAGATGACAATGAAATACAATCACACCCTTAAGTATAATTCTTAGGGGTTAGGGATGGATCACCTTGAGAAGACAGGAGTTGCCATTCTAACCACCTACAGAAAAAGAGACTGATCCATAAATAATGCTAGCTTGCTATGTGATTCAATTCCCCATTTGTCTCTGATATAGTCAATTTTACATGAGGAGGGAAACTGATTGTTTGACCATAGCTCTTTCCCACCTCATGCCTGCCTGTCTTGTGAGTTATTGATCTGCCTTTAGACTTCCCTCATCTCATTGTTTTACATTATAAAAATTCCTAGAAAATGCAGAGTCTTTGGCAACTCACATGGGACTCCTTCTGTCTCTCTCACAGAAGCATTCTTTCACTCAATAAATACTTCTTCTCTTAACCTTGATTGTACCTAAAATTCATTCTTAAATTTAAAAGAACATGAATTTCTGCTGGACATATAAGGGCAGACAATTTCATTCCCATATATCAAACTCAGAGGTCAAAGTGCTGGCAAAGACACACCTCTTCTTCTGACCATGTGCAAAGTAGTGGGACCTCATCTCTAAATGCCAAAAAACTTTTATTAATTAAATCTTTTTTCAAAATTTACAGGATGTCAATAAGGGCCAGATTTCTAAGGTCAGTCATTGGACAAGAAGAAACAATAAATGTATCTTAAAATTTTTGATGTCCAAAAGAAACTCCTTCCCATGTTATTTTAGTTGTGATGCCCAACATATATCAAAACCTTCAATACTAGGGTTCTAAGTACCTATCTTACCTCATACATGATTAGCAGAGCTGATCAGTACACATAGAAAAAGTTTTTATCCATGACTAAGTTTTCCTCCTTTCTATAGGCCTGTGAGCTTTTTCCTACTCTCAGACCTACCACGCAGACAATCCTCCAGTGCTGTCACAGTAGGTCAAGCTCACCTCAGAAGTCCTTTACAAAGCTGGCTGCTGATTGGGCCTCCCTCCTCATGCCCCTGCTCTCTCATTTCCTTTTCATCATGTCGGCACATGTTATTAAAACTTTTGTCCTTAATTCTTTAGTACTCATGAATATCCTGACCATGTGAAGATACCTCTACTTCAGTACAACAGTCCATCTCATCGTTCAAATTTCTTTTTGAGACAAGGACTCATGATGTAATTCAGGATGTCATGTCCTGTAACTCACTTCATCCCCCAGGCTTGTCTTAAACTTGCAAGGATCCTCCTGTATCAGCCTTCTGAGTGCTAGGATTAAAGCCATGTGCCACCACACCCCACTCACTGCTTCAAATTTCAGGTCAAACTAAAGCACAACCCAAATGTAACAAATTTTTGCAGTTATGAAACCTACTTCCATTTCCACTTTCATGTTATCAGATCTCTACATCCCTGTAGACACCAGTTTGCTGTTTTTCTCAGTGTGGGATTAGCACACAGCACCTACAGCAAGTTGTTCTCAGCAAGAAATTTCCACTTAGAAACTAATTCATCACCATCCCCAAATACCTCACAACATTCTAAACTTTAAGAAAACCCTCCCTTCAGTAATTCAATTGTAAAAAAGTATTTATCTACTTAGCTTATAAATAAGGCACTCCCTAAGGAAATGGCCTGAGGTAAAGTTGCAAAAGTAGTGGCTGGGATAAGAATTAAAATCAGAACAGACCATGAACTAGGACTTTGAACTTCACAATAAATTGCAGATTCTAGTCTACTAGAGTGAATTGCAGGTGCTAATTACTAAACTCTTGAGGTAACAGAAATGTAAACACAAACATCCAGTTTATCTCTAAAACCTGTTTCCTATAGACCCCACAGGCTAAACAAAACGGTTGGACAACCTCAGCTCAAAGTATTTCTTTTTCTGGGTGCAGTGACTCTGGACTGTAATATCCCCACACTGGAGACAGATGGAAGAGGATATCCTGGATCTCATGGGCTGGCCAGACTACAGAGATACACTCTGTATCCCAACAATAATAATAAAACGTAAAAGAAAAAAGAAAGGAAACAAAGATGTAGATCTATTTTAAATCCATAGAGCCAGGTGTACCCTCATGGCTATCCATGTACGAAACATTCCCAAAGTCAAGCAGCTTTCTCATTTTTATTTTGGTTCCATAACTCATAACACACAGTGCCATGAGTTTATGAGTTCTGTTCATGCCATAACATCACTTCGAGTAGAAGTCTCACATAAGGAATTCAAATGATAGTGTTTTGTCATTTTGAGGCCAGAATACATGTTTGTCTCCAAAGAACTGCACTCCTTAAACACAGCTGTGCCTGAGGCTGTGCAAAAGACACTCTGGGTATACAGGGGTTCTGCCCAATACCATCCAGACTGGCCAAAATTCCATCCCATTCCCAGCTGCAATACCATCAAGTTACCATTGTTATGCTTGAGGATTTCCAAGGATCCTTTCCAGTCTTCAGTAAGAAGAAGTCGCAGAAATTTGACATGAGCTCAGCTCCAGGCACTCAGCACTGAACTCCCAGTGAGCACTTCTACAAGAGGGATGGGAAGACCCTCCTCCCCTGGCCCACCTGATTGGCCCTCCTACCTTCACCCACCTTTATCAATAATTGGCTCCTGGGCCCATCTCTCTTCTATGATGGCACCCTCACCTGCCAGGATTCATAGTTTACTCTTGTGTTTTCAGTGCTGTCCTTGGTTTCCTTAAAGGTTTAGTGCCCTCTCTTGAAGCTGGGTCCCAAATATAACCAGGTGAATGTCCTGTGGAAGAACCAATCCCTTGAGGACAGAAAAGTTTATTTGTCAAGCTCAGGCTGGGACAACTTGGCACAGGTAGGGGCTGCTGTCAGGAATAAGGCCATAAGCTTTATTGCCCAGAAGTTCACAGGGTCTCTCTCAGTCTGCTCATTTGCATTAAACTAATTTTTAGGCCATCTACCAAGAGAAGTCCATTACAGCATGAATGAAGAAACTACACATTAACAGTAAGAGATTTCTGAGAAAAAGTAAAGATAAGGAAAATCAAACAGTCCAACTGCTTCAGAAAAGCTTTACACTCTATTCAGTGTCATAAATCATAACTAAGTTTTGAAGATAATCCTTGCCAAGCATAAGCTTCACTATTACTGCTGAAAAAGGGTACCGCACTTGATCCACTAAATCACTTCCTGGTATTGAGTGTGGGATAAAAAAAACCACTTTAGATTGTGTTATGGATTAAGAACTGGTGGTCAACTTAACACCAGATGGATTACATCAGCATGACATCGATTAAAGATGCTCCACCTGAGGAAAGTTGCAGGATAAATAAGTGGAGAAGAAGCTGTGCTGAAGCATTAGGGCGTTATTGCATTGAGGTATAGTGGGTTCTCCTACGAGTTGCTGTTTGAACTGTTGGTTCTCCTGGAGAAGCTTTGGTCCTCACACCCAGCATTGCTTCCTGGCTCCTAAGGGGAAGACATGTGATGCTTGGACTCCAGGATTAAATCATCATGCTCCTTCCTAGCACGTACCCAACTGTGCTTGTTTGGAGGAGCTCAGGGCCTCCGTGTCGCTGAGGATGGCTTTTGTGCCTTTCAAGACAGACCTGGTCTTTTTTGTGAGTGTGACTTCTTGGCTCCAGTGCAGAACCCTCATCCCACCAGCACAGCTCCTTCATTCTACTGGCATGGACATCCTGGCTTCCACCGCTGACCCTTGGGTTTTCCTGGCATTGATCCATAAAAGAGACTGCGGTGAGTCTTTCTTGTGGGCGCTGGACCTCCAGTTGGACTCGTCAGAGGCATTGTCCTGAGTTCGGGGTTTATATCTGGACTCGTGTAGGACATTACTTTGGGATTTAGGCCCTTGACTAAATATTCTATGTCTTTGGTGTTGTGGATAGGTTTCCTGCATTTTCCTGTGTTAACTCACCATGACCATTATAAAAATATTATAAACTCCATGTCCTGATTTTAATTGTTCTCAGTGTATAACCCCTAACTACAACAGACTGTAAGTGGAAAAATTTTGGCAAGTATGTATATATTTTACTCTAGAATCATTATATTTTTGTATTAACCTGTTGCCTAATTGTTGACTTCACTTCATGTGCAAGATTGCTTTTAGCCAATCTATATATTTAAGATCTAAAATATAGAAAGTATAAAAAAACCCTAATGAAGCTGAAGTAGGAATGTTCATGTAGGAAATGGTACCTGAGTTGGGATCATAGAGCCTGGCACAAGTTCCAGGGAAAGGTTTTTTTTTTTTTTTTTGTCTCTTTAATCAATGCTGCCAGGAACATAGGCCCTCAATTATGCAGCCACTACCTTCTCACTGGTAGCTGCCTGACTGTCCTTTCTCTTCCTTCTTCCAAATTAAGTTTTTTTTTATTTTCCATTTCAATCTTGCTGTCTTTAAGCCCTTATTTTTATGATTTTTACCTTCCCTTATTTACTATAGTGCAGTAGTAGGGTGTGCACACCCTTCTGTGGCTAGGTAAGATAGAAAACCAATTCTCTTCTTTTCCATGGATTCCACTTATTGAACAGCAAAAAATTATTTTCTTTTCTTGTTTACTTTTTAGTAAAAGAAGAAAATTATCTCTCCTAAGTTTCTGGTTTTGTCCACAGCTACATACCTTGTCATTGTGAATCCCTGAGCTCAGTTTGTACCAAATTAACAGTTTCAATAACTTTCTCCATAATGATTACTGTTTGGCTATTGCTAATAGCCTTGCTATCCACCTAATAACAATGCCTCTTGAATAATAGACTTTTCATAAGTGTGCTGATGGAGTTTTTAATTACCAATCATGTATCTTAACTAGATTTATTGCAACGCGTTTGTTAGGTCTGGGAGAAGGGAGAGGCGAGGAGAGAAGTCTGCAGGAGGAATGGAGCGGAGTGGACGACCGTAAAAGTAGTGGTCAGCGGTGGCTTTATTCCGGGAATGCGGGGAGGGGGCCCCCGTCGCCGGCCCCGGGCATCTCTGTACCCGGGGCCGGTGGTGTCTCCGGGAACACGGGGAGTGGAGACTGGCGCACTGGAGTCTGGCGAGCTCTCTCTCTCTGGCGAACTCTCTCTGGCAAACTCCCTGGCAAACTCTCTCTGGAACGTGGCATGGGAGATCTAAATAGCCTAAGCTTAGGGCAGCACCCTAATGCCATTAGAGATGCACAGATATCTCATTGGCGCACACGTCCTTAAGGATGGGGATATAGAATTAATATCAAGTCCATAGGGGGCAGGGTGGGGGAGGAGTTTAGCTGCAGCCTTTTCTGGTTACAGTGTTTCATCTGGGCCGGCAACTCTTTCAGCGTTTATCTGACATCTACTGTATAAAATTCTGTTTCTAAGCATCAAGCTTCTGATGTACTTAAGGCCCTAATTCACTCCTTAGAAAAACTGGAAACCTGACACTAGCAGGTTCCATATGAAATTCCTGCAGATGTCTGTGACAACCTTCACAGGGCACAGGTACTTTATTGGTCGTAATATTAAATAAACTGTTATTCATGAATTTTGGACTCCTGAGTGTTTTTGTACTTACAAGAAGAGATGGTAACTGAATTTTTATCATTCTGCATTCATGTTAATGAACTTTCTATCACTGTGATAAAGTGCCTGAAAAATCCAGATATTAGAATTGGAAATTTACTCAAGGTGTATTTTATCTCATACTTTCTGAAGATCAGCCCATGGGGCAAATGTGAGATAGAACACAGGAGCTAGGTCATGTTGGTAAACATGCAGAGTAAGAGATGATGTAGCTACATCAAAGTAGGCAGGGTCCAAGGGCACTATGTGCGTATGTGTGTGTGTGTGTGTGTGTGTGTGTGTGTGTGTCTATGTTTCTGTTTCTCTCTGTTTGTGTCTATGTCTGTGTCTCTGTCTATGTGTCTGTGAGCAGGGATTCAACAATCCCAATGGGAGTACCTGTTCTTTCTCTGCACAGCTATGACCTGTGTCACTATAAATCTCAGCCCCTCAGTACACTAAAGCTCAGTTTTCTGTCTCCACATGGCTGATATATCTTAGTGAACGCAGATCTCACTCCCTGTGTCTCTCACACAGTGAGGCTCATCAGCATCCTCATGGTCACTCAAGGAGACTGCTACATAACAGGCTTTTGGAATGGTCTCTGGAGTTGAATGCATTATACTGAATTAAATCCTGTAGTAAGCATAACATCCAGCATCAGTGTGAACAAATAATTTCAACCCTACAAATTGCTAAGGAGTAACAAATAGGAGACAACATACGGTGATAACTGACAATGTTATATAAAAATATAAAACAAAATTATTAACTAGAGACACTCTATACTGCTTCCTTCCATCCAAGTTGAGCACTCCAAGATGAGATAATTGACATGTCCTACATCCAGCTGAGTTAACAGTGTCCAGCTCCATCACGATATATCCTTTCACTGTCACCTAAGCACTCATATTCCCCAGACAATCATCCAGGATTGGCATTTTAGGATTTAGTAAAGGCCCTTAGTCCACTGGCAGTGTCTCCCTGTGAAGGAAGTGGCACCTGCAGGGGGCTTACACCTGTCTTTGCTGACATTTTCCCTGTGTTCATTGTCCCTGGACAGGAGTCTCTGATCTGGAACACAAGGCTGACAGAATCAAAAGGTACTTTTTCAGGTCCCTGATGCTTCTTTGGCTCTGAGCCCTCCTGTTTCACATCCAGTATTCTCAAGGCCTTCCTTCATGGTACTGCAGTCCCTTCAATGTGGGAATTTAAAATTGGTGTGTAAAGTTGTAAAGGCCTTTAAATTCCAACCCAGATTTCCTACAGTCTGCACTGGGGGCCTGAAGATGTATCATCCATCTATGCAGAAAATAACTCCTCTGGCCCAGATAACTGCTGGTGTTGGCAAGGAAAACAAGGATATCCGTGGATGAAGGAGTGCCTTATTCCTGCAGATTGTCATTACTGGGCTCCCTATAGTAGAAAGATAACTAAAAGATTGCAGTCTTTACAAACTTTTAATTTTAAATCATGCAAGGATCCAAGTCCTGTAGGAACGTGTCCCTTATTTGGAAAGTTTCCCTTTACTGAAGTGCAGGGAGGTCACCTGTTAAATTCCCTTCTGCTCTCCATGCCACAGGAAGGGACCTGTATTGATCTTATGCATGTATTAGCACTTCTGATACACGTTGAAAAAGGCGACTGAGTATCAACACATTTGTCCATTGACCCTGGTGGTGTGGTTTCAGGGTCAACAATTGGAAGCAACACTTGCCTCATCAGAAAGTTCATCTATGAGACATATTCTACAGGACACATTCTAGCCAGGAAGGACACAATGCTGGTGTGGTGGTTTCCAGATACTAAGCTTTTCCATTCATGACCTGAGAAACCAGGATAGACATGAACACAAACATCCTTGAGTCTGTGTTGTGTGACTACCTGGTTGAAGGAAAATGTCTGTCCGGTGTGTCCTTCTGGGTCTGTATCTTCAGCTGCATCTCATGGCACTCCTGGATGTCCCAGCTGCCCATGTGAGATAATCATTGCTGTGATGATCAAGGGGAGAGGGAAACATGCACTTGA